CCCCAGTTCGTAAAACACAGTAACCAGAGCGTTATTAGTTGCTTTTATTATTACATTTAGGTTTTGTGGCGTTTTGAAAAACCTAAAACATGGATGGATCATGGATTAGTAATTTAGTACTAGCGTTATGTCCAACATGTCTGATTTCTGGAAAACAGAAACACTTGGTTTCCATATTATCCATAAGCTTCACTTTATTTAAAGCACCGCTACCTCCAACGTCGAAAATTCCAGTTTACCGGCCATGCAGACCAAGTTTTACGAGGGGTCGGTGACTGCCTGGTGCAGGCAGGTCCACTCCTGGAATTATCAAGTTTGCGCTCACAAGAATGGACAACAAAAACTGAAACTTCTGAGATCTGGTGGATTAGATTGTGATCGTTCCCAGAAAAATATCAGAAAATTTGAGAAAAATGAAAAAAAAAAGACCATGAAATAAATCCTGTGCCGATTCGTCGAATTTCCCATTTTTGCCACTCTATGACGTTTGGGCCAACAATTCCAAATACCCAACTTCCGTAATCTTTTGCGCTCAGAAGAATGCCCAAAAAAAATCTGAAAATTGGAGAGTGTAGATTTGGTCGTGATCTGTCCAAGGAAAACATTGGAAAAAAAAAAATAAAAAATTTAGACCGTGAAATAAATGCCGCGCCTATTTGTCTCATTTTCCATTTTTGCCACTCTACCACGTGTGGGCCAACGGGAAAAGTACCCAAACTTCAGTGAATCTGGAAATTGGAGGGTTCGTAGATTTGATCGTAAATTCGTAATCTTTCCAGGAAAAGTATTAAAACCACTAGTACCTCCGCCAGTTTTGGGAAATTATGATGTTTTGCCAGTTCCCGAAGTTATCGGGGGTGGGACACAGGGTCGGCACTGTCCCATAAATCAGATTTTTATATTGCCCGCGAGTGAAAGAAAAACAAAAAAAAGAAAATACTATCTCTACTGCAATGATGTGGGGCAGGGTAGTCTTGGGGGCCGTGCTCAGAGTCTTCCTCCACAGAATGCACCTTACCGGTAAGGCGGCCACATTCTGGATGTTGCCGTTTTTTTTTTTTGTTTTTTTTTTTTTTACTCGTGTTTCTTATAAGTCCCCTGCCAATGAGGAGGCAGGGGGGAATCCGTGAATTGCTCAAGCCGTCCGTGATCTGCTCAAGCTGTGTTTTGTCAGAGGATTGTAACACTCATCACACTGATACTAAGTGGAATGTATCAAGCCATTTTCACGGCCGGATCCGTGTGCCCGTTTCTTCCGCCTTCTTTTCTCTTTCTCGAATCTGACAACCTGGCCACGGGGACGAGATGCCCTCGCTGACGGCACACTCACACTACCACTTCCAAGAATGTATACAACTGCAGTCACGACCAAAAGCTTTGTTTCGTTTTTTTTTGTTTTTTTTTTTTCCTGAGATCACGGCCGCAACTTTTCTTCTTCTTCTTTTTTTCTTTTTTGTTCTTTCCGTGAGAGTACCAGGAAGAAAACGGAGTGGTACCCAGGCTCGGCAAACTCGGAGCGCAGTGAAATTCAGGGTCGGCAAAAACAGGCTCGGAGGTACTAGCGGTTTAAGATAATTGAAAAACTTGTTTCAACCGCAGAATAAGTCGTGGTGGCAATTCAACGCATTTTCCATTTTTGCCACTCTGCCGGTTCTTCCCACTGTGCTACAGGTAGCCCTCATGAACCTGTGCTACCGGTCTGAATTTAGGATGGCGGGGGTAGTGAAGGTTATAATTTTAGACAAAGAATTCCCTCTTCAAGGAAGCCTCACGCCGTTTGGTCAAATCGCCACAAAACCATTGACGCCAGCACGTCGTAAGTATGATTTTTTTTTGGCCGACAACCAGCGAAGGTGTTTTTATTTGAGCGATTACACGACATCCGGATAAACCAAATCATATTTGACCTTTGGAAAATCCATATGCGCTTCAAATTCACAAATCCCATTGATTGAAAAAAATTGCAGATAAAAAAATTGCAGATAAAAAAATTGCAGATCTGTCCATCTTTGTTATGTCTGGATATGGCGAGTTTCTACCAAACCGGAGCAGGACGGGGAAAAGAATGACAGATGCACTAGACAGGGGAAATCGTGTTGGAGAGGCAAACCTTCTCTTCTGCGAGCTCCTTCTCCAGGCTTGAAGCTATAGCTTCGGCCTGCAGACGGTGTCCCTCCGTAGCTCGCTGCTCCTCATCCATCCTGACCATAACCTGTCCGTTTTCATCCCAAACAGCCACAACAAGCACCAATACCTTCAATAAAACAGCCCCCAGGAATTATCATCGGAATTGACTATCAATTAAGGATCGCTTGAGAACGAACAAGTCTTCGAGCATCAATCACACTTCCACATGAGCGAACAAAGGGATTTCACGATGTCCTCATTCGGAAATCAGGCTCCCGCTAAGAAGAACTTCCACCTTTACTGCCTATGACAGACAAGGGAACATTTGAGGACAAAATAGCAATTTGGACTTGGGAGAGTTCAAAGGAATACGAAGCCCATTCTACAGGCCAAACACAGACTGGTAATGGAAATAGGCCTAAATATGCATATCGAGGGAGAAAGAAGGTGGAGAGCGAGAGAGAGAGGGAGAGAGAGAGAGAG